GGTAATATCGCCTGAGAACTGCTGCTGAAAATTAATATAATTTGCTCAGATCAACTGGCAATGTTAAAACATGCAAGTACAACTCTGTTGGGGTTGATAATTTCTAGGGTTAATAATTAATTTTTACAAGCAATATGACATTTGACATGCATGGTGGCCTTATATATATGAACATGTATATAATGATAATTAATAATCTCTTTTCAAACACTTCGTTGGGGGAACATATAAATGACACAGATATTGATATTCATTAATTGACATATATATATGTAATGAATGTACACACATACCACCGATGGATCATCAGTTGGCCGTAGAGGTAATATCGCCTGAGAACTGCTGCTGAAAATTAAGATGATATATTTTGCTCAGATCAACTGGCAATGTTAAAACATGCAAGTACATCTGTTGGGGTTGATAATTTCTAGGGTTAATAATCAATTTTTCACAAGCAATATGACATTTGACATGCATGGTGGCCTTATATATGACACATGTATATATAATGATAATTAATACAACTAATCTCTTTCAAACTTCGTTGGGGGAACATTATAAATGACACAGATATTGATATTAATTGACATATATATGTAATGAATGTACGACACATACCACCATGGATCCATCATCAGTTGGTAGAGGTAATATCGCCTGAGAACTGCTGCTGAAAATTAAGATGATATAATTTCTGCTCAGATCAACTGGCAATGTTAAAACATGCAAGTACAACTCTGTTGGGGTTGATAATTTCTAGGGTTAATAATTAATTTTTCACAAGCAATATGACATTTGACATGCATGGTATATATATGACACATGTATATATAATGATAATTAATACAACTAATCTCTTTTCAAACACTTCGTTGGGGGACATTATAAATGACACAGATATTGTATTCATTAATTGACATATATATGTAATGAATGTACGACACATACCACCATGGATCCATCATCAGTTGGCCGTAGAGGTAATATCGCCTGAGAACTGCTGCTGAAAATTAAGATGATATAATTTCTGCTCAGATCAACTGGCAATGTTAAAACATGCAAGTACAACTGTTGGGGTTGATAATTTCTAGGGTTAATAATCAATTTTTCACAAGCAATATGACATTTGACATGCATGGTGGCCTTATATATATGACACATGTATATATGATAATAATACAACTAATCTCTTTTCAAACACTTCGTTGGGGGAACATTATAAATGACACAGATATTGATATTCATTAATTGACATATATATGTAATGAATGTACGACACATACCACCATGGATCCATCATCAGTTGGCCGTAGAGGTAATATCGCCTGAGAACTGCTGCTGAAAATTAAGATATATAATTTCTGCTCAGATCAACTGGCAATGTTAAAACATGCAAGTACAACTCTGTTGGGTTGATAATTTCTAGGGTTAATAATCAATTTTTCACAAGCAATATGACATTTGACATGCATGGTGGCCTTATATATATGACACATGTATATATAATGATAATTAATACAACTAATCTCTTTTCAAACACTTCGTTGGGGGAACATTATAAATGACACAGATATTGATATTCATTAATTGACATATATATGTAATGAATGTACGACACATACCACCATGGATCCATCATCAGTTGGCCGTAGAGGTAATATCGCCTGAGAACTGCTGCTGAAAATTAAGATGATATAATTTCTGCTCAGATCAACTGGCAATGTTAAAACATGCAAGTACAACTCTGTTGGGGTTGATAATTTCTAGGGTTAATAATATTTTCACAAGCAATATGACATTTGACATGCATGGTGGCCTTATATATATGACACATGTATATATAATGATAATTAATACAACTAATCTCTTTTCAAACACTTCGTTGGGGGAACATTATAAATGACACAGATATTGATATTCATTAATTGACATATATATGTAATGAATGTACGACACATACCACCATGGATCCATCATCAGTTGGCCGTAGAGGTAATATCGCCTGAGAACTGCTGCTGAAAATTAAGATGATATAATTTCTGCTCAGATCAACTGGCAATGTTAAAACATGCAAGTACAACTCTGTTGGGGTTGATAATTTCTAGGGTTAATAATTTTTCACAAGCAATATGACATTTGACATGCATGGTGGCCTTATATATATGACACATGTATATATAATGATAATTAATACAACTAATCTCTTTTCAAACACTTCGTTGGGGGAACATTATAAATGACACAGATATTGATATTCATTAATTGACATATATATGTAATGAATGTACGACACATACCACCATGGATCCATCATCAGTTGGCCGTAGAGGTAATATCGCCTGAGAACTGCTGCTGAAAATTAAGATGATATAATTTCTGCTCAGATCAACTGGCAATGTTAAAACATGCAAGTACAACTCTGTTGGGGTTGATAATTTCTAGGGTTAATAATTAATTTTTCACAAGCAATATGACATTTGACATGCATGGTGGCCTTATATATATGACACATGTATATAGATAATTAATACAACTAATCTCTTTCAAACACTTCGTTGGGGGAACATTATAAATGACACAGATATTGATATTCATTAATTGACATATATATGTAATGAATGTACGACACATACCACCATGGATCCATCATCAGTTGGCCGTAGAGGTAATATCGCCTGAGAACTGCTGCTGAAAATTAAGATGATATAATTTCTGCTCAGATCAACTGGCAATGTTAAAACATGCAAGTACAACTCTGTTGGGGTTGATAATTTCTAGGGTTAATAATCAATTTTTCACAAGCAATATGACATTTGACATGCATGGTGGCCTTAATATATGACACATGTATATATAATGATAATTAATACAACTAATCTCTTTTCAAACACTTCGTTGGGGGAACATTATAAATGACACAGATATTGATATTCATTAATTGACATATATATGTAATGAATGTACGACACATACCACCATGGATCCATCATCAGTTGGCCGTAGAGGTAATATCGCCTGAGAACTGCTGCTGAAAATTAAGATGATATAATTTCTGCTCAGATCAACTGGCAATGTTAAAACATGCAAGTACAACTCTGTTGGGGTTGATAATTTCTAGGGTTAATAATTTTTCACAAGCAATATGACATTTGACATGCATGGTGGCCTTATATATATGACACATGTATATATAATGATAATTAATACAACTAATCTCTTTTCAAACACTTCGTTGGGGGAACATTATAAATGACACAGATATTGATATTCATTAATTGACATATATATGTAATGAATGTACGACACATACCACCATGGATCCATCATCAGTTGGCCGTAGAGGTAATATCGCCTGAGAACTGCTGCTGAAAATTAAGATGATATAATTTCTGCTCAGATCAACTGGCAATGTTAAAACATGCAAGTACAACTCTGTTGGGGTTGATAATTTCTAGGGTTAATAATCAATTTTTCACAAGCAATATGACATTTGACATGCATGGTGGCCTTATATATATGACACATGTATATATAATGATAATTAATACAACTAATCTCTTTTCAAACACTTCGTTGGGGGAACATTATAAATGACACAGATATTGATATTCATTAATTGACATATATATGTAATGAATGTACGACACATACCACCATGGATCCATCATCAGTTGGCCGTAGAGGTAATATCGCCTGAGAACTGCTGCTGAAAATTAAGATGATATAATTCTGCTCAGATCAACTGGCAATGTTAAAAAATGCAAGTAAAACTCTGTTGGGGTTGATAATTTAGGGTTAATAATCAATTTTCACAAGCAATATGACATTTGACATGCATGGTGGCCTTAATATATGACACATGTATATATAATGATAATTAATACAACTAATCTCTTTTCAAACACTTCGTTGGGGGAACATTATAAATGACACAGATATTGATATTCATTAATTGACATATATATGTAATGAATGTACGACACATACCACCATGGATCCATCATCAGTTGGCCGTAGAGGTAATATCGCCTGAGAACTGCTGCTGAAAATTAAGATGATATAATTTCTGCTCAGATCAACTGGCAATGTTAAAACATGCAAGTACAACTCTGTTGGGGTTGATAATTTCTAGGGTTAATAATCAATTTTTCACAAGCAATATGACATTTGACATGCATGGTGGCCTTATATATATGACACATGTATATATAATGATAATTAATACAACTAATCTCTTTTCAAACACTTCGTTGGGGGAACATTATAAATGACACAGATATTGATATTCATTAATTGACATATATATGTAATGAATGTACGACACATACCACCATGGATCCATCATCAGTTGGCCGTAGAGGTAATATCGCCTGAGAACTGCTGCTGAAAATTAAGATGATATAATTTCTGCTCAGATCAACTGGCAATGTTAAAACATGCAAGTACAACTCTGTTGGGGTTGATAATTTCTAGGGTTAATAATCAATTTTTCACAAGCAATATGACATTTGACATGCATGGTGGCCTTATATATATGACACATGTATATATAATGATAATTAATACAACTAATCTCTTTTCAAACACTTCGTTGGGGGAACATTATAAATGACACAGATATTGATATTCATTAATTGACATATATATGTAATGAATGTACGACACATACCACCATGGATCCATCATCAGTTGGCCGTAGAGGTAATATCGCCTGAGAACTGCTGCTGAAAATTAAGATGATATAATTTCTGCTCAGATCAACTGGCAATGTTAAAACATGCAAGTACAACTCTGTTGGGGTTGATAATTTCTAGGGTTAATAATCAATTTTTCACAAGCAATATGACATTTGACATGCATGGTGGCCTTATTATATGACACATGTATATATAATGATAATTAATACAACTAATCTCTTTTCAACACTTCGTTGGGGGAACATTATAAATGACACAGATATTGATATTCATTAATTGACATATATATGTAATGAATGTACGACACATACCACCATGGATCCATCATCAGTTGGCCGTAGAGGTAATATCGCCTGAGAACTGCTGCTGAAAATTAAGATGATATAATTTCTGCTCAGATCAACTGGCAATGTTAAAACATGCAAGTACAACTCTGTTGGGGTTGATAATTTCTAGGGTTAATAATCAATTTTTCACAAGCAATATGACATTTGACATGCATGGTGGCCTTATATATATGACACATGTATATATAATGATAATTAATACAACTAATCTCTTTTCAAACACTTCGTTGGGGGAACATTATAAATGACACAGATATTGATATTCATTAATTGACATATATATGTAATGAATGTACGACACATACCACCATGGATCCATCATCAGTTGGCCGTAGAGGTAATATCGCCTGAGAACTGCTGCTGAAAATTAAGATGATATAATTTCTGCTCAGATCAACTGGCAATGTTAAAACATGCAAGTACAACTCTGTTGGGGTTGATAATTTCTAGGGTTAATAATCAATTTTTCACAAGCAATATGACATTTGACATGCATGGTGGCCTTATATATATGACACATGTATATATAATGATAATTAATACAACTAATCTCTTTTCAAACACTTCGTTGGGGGAACATTATAAATGACACAGATATTGATATTCATTAATTGACATATATATGTAATGAATGTACGACACATACCACCATGGATCCATCATCAGTTGGCCGTAGAGGTAATATCGCCTGAGAACTGCTGCTGAAAATTAAGATGATATAATTTCTGCTCAGATCAACTGGCAATGTTAAAAACATGCAGTACAACTCTGTTGGGGTTGATATTTCTAGGGTTAATAATCAATTTTTCAGCAAGCAATATGACATTTGACATGCATGGTGGCCTTATATATATGATGTATTATAATGATAATTAATACAACTAATCTCTTTCAACACTTCGTTGGGGGACTTATAATGACACAGATATTGATATTCATTATTGACATATATATGTAATGAATGTACGACACATACCACCATGGATCCATCATCAGTTGGCCGTAGAGGTAATATCGCCTGAGAACTGCTGCTGAAATTAAGATGATTAATTTCTGCTCAGATCAACTGGCAATGTTAAACATGCAAGTACAACTCTGTTGGGGTTGATAATTTCTAGGGTTAATTCATTTTTCACAAGCAATATGACATTTGACATGCATTGGTGGCCTTATATATATGACACATGTATATATAATATAATATAATACAACTAATCTCTTTTCAAACACTTCGTTGGGGGAACATTATAAATGACACAGATATTGATATTCATTAATTGATATATATGTAATGAATGTACGACACATACCACCATGGATCCATCATCAGTTGGCCGTAGAGGTAATATCGCCTGAGAACTGCTGCTGAAAATTAAGATGATATTTTCTGCTCAGATCAACTGGCAATGTTAAAACATGCAAGTACAACTCTGTTGGGGTTGATTAATGTTAATCAATTTTTCACAAGCAATATGACATTTGACATGCATGGTGGCCTTATATATATGACACATGTATATATAATGATAATTATACAACTAATCTCTTTTCAAACACTTCGTTGGGGGACATTATAAATGACACAGATATTGATATTCATTAATTGACATTATGTATGAATGTACGACACATACCACCATGGATCCATCATCAGTTGGCCGTAGAGGTAATATCGCCTGAGAACTGCTGCTGAAAATTAAGATGATATTTTCTGCTCAGATCAACTGGCAATGTTAAAACATGCAAGTACAACTCTGTTGGGGTTGATAATTTCTAGGGTTAATAATTTTTTCACAAGCAATATGACATTTGACATGCATGGTGGCCTTATATATGACACATGTATATATAATGATAATTAAACTAATCTCTTTTCAAACACTTCGTTGGGGACATTATAAATGACACAGATATTGATATTCATTAATTGACATATATATGTAATGAATGTACGACACATACCACCATGGATCCATCATCAGTTGGCCGTAGAGGTAATATCGCCTGAGAACTGCTGCTGAAAATTAAGATGATATAATTTCTGCTCAGATCAACTGGCAATGTTAAAACATGCAAGTACAACTCTGTTGGGGTTGATAATTTCTAGGGTTAATAATCAATTTTTCACAAGCAATATGACATTTGACATGCATGGTGGCCTTATATATATGACACATGTATATATAATGATAATTAATACAACTAATCTCTTTTCAAACACTTCGTTGGGGGAACATTATAAATGACACAGATATTGATATTCATTAATTGACATATATATGTAATGAATGTACGACACATACCACCATGGATCCATCATCAGTTGGCCGTAGAGGTAATATCGCCTGAGAACTGCTGCTGAAAATTAAGATGATATAATTTCTGCTCAGATCAACTGGCAATGTTAAACATGCAAGTACAACTCTGTTGGGGTTGATAATTTCTAGGGTTAATTCAATTTTTCACAAGCAATATGACATTTGACATGCATGGTGGCCTTATATATATGACACATGTATATAATGATAATTAATACAACTAATCTCTTTTCAAACACTTCGTTGGGGGAACATTATAAATGACACAGATATTGATATTCATTAATTGACATATATATGTAATGAATGTACGACACATACCACCATGGATCCATCATCAGTTGGCCGTAGAGGTAATATCGCCTGAGAACTGCTGCTGAAAATTTGATATAATTTCTGCTCAGATCAACTGGCAATGTTAAAACATGCAAGTACAACTCTGTTGGGGTTGATAATTTCTAGGGTTAATAATTAATTTTTCACAAGCAATATGACATTTGTGGTGGTTCATAATCACACATATAATGATAATTTAATCATACACAACACAGATAGGTATTAACCTATTTCTTTAACACCTAATTATATTAGGTCAATGATGGTCGACATTGATGAGGGAGTGAACAAAGGCATTATTAAATGGCGGTGCCCTTAATTTGTACTTAAATTAGTGCATGTAAACTGGGAAAAATGCAACATAAAGACTTGTTTTGACTTTAAAGAAAATAAAGCAAGTACATTAGCATAGAGATTATAAATAACAGTGTTTTTAATATAATCTCTATGGCCATTATGACCTATGATATCATCAGCTGGCTTCTGATTGGTCATTCTAGGACATCGTTCGGTGATGTCCTAGGAAGACCAATCAGAGCCTTTCCTTTCACGTGCTCATGAGATATTTCGAAAATCTGTTTAGACAATCTTTTTAAAACGCAACATACCATATTTTATTAATGAAAATAAGCTTGAATTTGTGCCGAGAAGTTGAATAGTCTCCTTCGTTGCTTTTGTATGTAAATAATAGCAAACACCTGATCAGACTAGGGTGCGAAAAATCTGGGAGGGGGCACGCGGTTTTATTTGATAAATACACAAGTTGAAAACATAGGAAATTTATATCACATATATACCTGTCTCTGCCAATTTCTTCGCGATTGAATCTGTATCAGCCGTGCACGCGATGCAGGATAATTGGGTTTTTTTTGTTCCGATAGTAAACTGAAACATGAAATGAATAGTATATTTCCAAAGATGATTATAGATTAGACCAAGCGCATGCCCTCGGAATATTTCATCCCTCAGGGTAATTTCTTGTGGAATCACCCGAGTGAAAGGTTGATAACTGATATATTATACCGAAAATTTAAAGCTGTTGACAAAAAGTCGTCCGGCGTCTTGTTGCCGTCGGCCATATTTACAATCTGACACCCGTAACGGCAGGCTAGTTTACGAATTCGGGGGTGATGTAAAGTGGAATCACCCTCCCTTGCGGGCAAAGAGGGTAATTATTCGACTTTAAATTACATGCCCCGGGTAAAATACCAGGATTTAAGTTCGCAGTCTATGTGCTTCCACAAAAAATCTACTCATCACGTGGTACAAATACAGTTTTTTTATTGGACAATTTGAATCTGAGGTATATATATAATTAATTAAATACACTGGACCAAACTTTTTTTTTAAAGCAGGCAAGAAATATCACTGACGGTTATTTGTCACGATTTTCAATTATAGTAAACTGGAACATAAGTGCTTTGAACACAACCAGCCCTTCCCTCGCTTTATTCTTAGACAAGCAATTCCGATAGGCGATACATGCCGCTTTTTATATTACACAAAATAGGATTGTTTTTCTTCGGTCATTTGACAATATTTTATCGTCGCTTAAACTTGTTTGCATGGCACCGATTTTGGTAAAAAAAAGACTTTTTTATACACTAGGCAAATCTACGCGTTTTTTTACACAATGTAATACGATATCTATATGAGACTCGCTGGTAACGATTTGACTCGCCTTGCCAATGCAAACGTCATTTGACCCGTTGGCGTCAGCGCATCACCTAAATCCTATCGGCCTAAGCTTTAGACAGTCACACTTTACTCTTTAATCCGTTCACCTCGAGCTTTACGATGGAAGCAAGTGTTCTTCGTTATGTCGAAGAGATTCATAAATCTATAAAGAAGAACGTAAAAACTCTCGGAGACAACAAAAGAAGTTTGCGTGTTTTCACAGAACTCGTTCGCGCCTTTTACATTTCGCTTTTCGCGAAGGACTCGGGTTAGTTTCAAATAATACCGTATGATATATGGGTGACTATAGTTTTAGGAAACCAGTATTAATTTTGTTTTAGTTTTACATACGGCCCTCACTTTGTTTAATTTATCAATGTTAATATCAATGTTAATCATTCATTATATATATAAACATATATTTATTATCTATTTCAAATTCATTATCATGCAAATCCGAATGACTTTACTTCGTTTACAAAAATATCGATATTTGTTTGCCAATAATTTCTATCACCGTTCGGAAATCAGAGCAGTATTACTATACTGATATCAAACATATACTCCAAAATTAAACAGTTCACTCAAGATACGAGTTTTTTAAAAAAATTTTCATGTCACATTTCCGGCCGGCGTCTAGCCTCAAGTTGATAAAATCGTGATCATGCAAGAGACTTTAATTACTTCGTTTACAACAATATTGATATTTTGTTTGCCAATAATTTCCATCACCGTTCGGAGAATTGGAATCAGACAATGAGAATGACTTTGAAATAGAGACCGCGAAATATCACTGACCTGAATATTGTGTATTGATCATAGCACCGCGCTTCAACTTTTTCCCCATTATTCATATCGCTGCTTTGAATTTCTACGTGATATACAGGAGTTTTCGGTCGGACGAACATTGACAAGAAACTGGAAAACTTACCCGATGTGACGACGGGGAGACGCGACGACGATAGTCTTGGGGAGGGGACGAGCAGGGAAACGGGGAACGTCTCACGTGGGAAAGGACTAGGAAAAGGCAAACCTGGTCACGTTAGGAAGCCGAACGTAACCGATCGCCAGGAACGGAGACGACAAACCGCATCGTTCCAGAGCTCACGGAAACGTCCAGCCGAGCACGAAAGCGGAAAATGCCACCGCGAAAGATCGCGCCGAGGCCAACTGCGAACACTCCTCCGCCACCTTTGCCGTTGCCTCCACCGAACAGCCCATCGTCGGCTTCTCAGAGCAGTTCGCCGCCTGCTTCCACAAACACATCATCTCCACCCACCACAACAACACCACCACCACCTCTGAGCCTTCGAATCGATGTGAACGAGCCACGACAAAAACTCACAGCGCAGACTCACGAACCCGCCAGCAAAACACAGGTACAATTGATACAGAAATACGCCAAAGCTCTCAGAGACAAACCACCGAATTCTGCTGAGATCTATTTCTTCTGGTTGGTGATGGATCGATGGCGAAACCGATTGGCTCCGCCATTGGTCAACGGCCTTAAACATCATTGGCACGACCTCTCGAATGACGACGAACTTTCGGTCGCAGAGAAGATATTCCACCTTGCTATAACGCCAAACGCAATCACGACCTGCGTCCACCACCTGATTGGTATAGTGCGGTCCTACGGTGGGACGAAAGACGGAAATACGACCAGGTTCTGCGAAGACTTGGCGAGCGAAATCGACGACTTGCATTACCAGCGCTACAAGGAAGAACTGCTGCGATGTGCCTGTGAAAATTGCGACGACGTTGTGAAGTTCGACGAAAGTTACTCGAGGTATTAGTTATAGAATTCTTCACTCCTTTGCTTATTGTTATCGCGTAGCGTTCGTTTTGGCTGTAATCACTGTAAGATACCCAGGTTCGGGCATATACGTGTACGGGTAGCCTCATTTCGTTCGCGCTGAATTTCCATCAGTGTTACCTCGACAATATCAACTCGACAATTCTTTTCCATGCAGTAGTAGACTTTAGCCTCTTGAGGCAGGATATTAATGTTATGATCCAAAACCAAAACATATAACTGCATGCATGATATTTCCGTTTAGCTATTACGAAGGCCTGGAGTCGGACGACCACGAACGGCAGCCAGTGTTATTGAAGGACAGACCGATGCACTGCGAAAGCACCGAACTGTATGCGCAAACCCTGCGTACACAATTCGCCGGGCTAAGCAGCTCCAATTTACAACGATGGTTTTATTTCGCCAACACCACCCGCTGTTCAGTGTCCCTACCCTCGCTATGGCGCCACCGACGACTGTATGACGTCGACCCTGAAATACCTTGAACCATATCTCCGCGAGAGGGGTTACAAAGATCCGCTGCCGACATCATGGTCAATCCCGGCGGCAGACTGCACCAAAGGTCGCTTGATCCGCGTCGAGAAATCCTCCGTTCACCTATATGATGGCGACTCCTGCGAGATCTCGCTTACGGTGGACAGCGAGCCCGAGCTGCTTCGATTGGCGACGCACAATCACGGCGAGTCGATCAGAGTTCGAATGCTTAATTCGGACAGCCCGGAGACCGAGTATTCTTTCAGCATATACAAACAGGCTGAAAACTCCACCGAAATGTCTCTGTTCCTCACACGCCACGTCGGCATCGAATGCATGCGGGCTGCAAGGAGCTTGCTGTTCGCCGCTCAAGAAGTTTACCTGCAAGTTACATTGAAGAGGGAATCGCGGTGCCAACTGACCACCATGGCCGCAGGCTCCTAAATATCTTCGCCAAAGGCCAGGACGGAAAGATTCGCAACTTCGCAGAGAGTCTGGCGAGTAGCGGACACACCATGTCCTTCTACACGACCGGTGTAGAAGCAGCGATCGACGCTTCAATGCGAGAAGCCATCGCCGACAAGAGGGGCTTTTCAATCTGCCGGACGAGGCCTTCACCTATCCATTCAGACCGTGGGACATTCGCAGAATTGGCAGGAAAAACGATCACGACCGCGTCTACCAAGACAAACGGGAAATTCTTAATGCCCCAATCGACCCCGGGACAGCTTGGAGACCAGACGAAAAGGTTTCCGCTGCTCATGGTGGCGACGAAATGACCGCGGGATTCCAGAGAGTGAAACCACCGACCAATTTTTCCTCCAGCTGGTTCCATGCACGCTCTTTTGGGAGAGTAAATGCTACGTGGGAAAAAGCAACATCCCTGGTGCTGGCCGTGGTCTCTTCCTGAAACCGCACAAAGCGATACCCAAAGATGCGCACCTGTGCGTGTACGCCGAAAAGAGCACGAGCCTGGAGGATGTAGAAAAGAGTAAAAGTTCTCGTGTGTACCTGATCACCACCTCGAGAAAATGTCTGCACTTCGACGCGGAGAGAGAACGACGAATAATCTTGGAGATTTGCTAACCAGCCGGGCGTGTCGCAAGCGTTCGCCCAGATAAAGGCGATCTCAGCGAAAGACCAGCCAGAAATGTCAGCTGACAACTGGATCGCGATCGAAAACGAACTTAACGAACAGTGCAACGCGGTATTTCACGTCAAAGGTGATCAGCTGGTGCTCAGGACGAAACATCGATTCCCATCGTCGTACGAGCCAACAGAGGTATTCGTGAATTACGGCAGCTTGCGACAATACTGGATTCCCTTGCTCTTGGACGACGAGCACAATAAGGAACTACCAGCGAATATGATAGAGATCGCCAAATGGCTGGTGTACAGCGAGGATTGTAACTGGTCCACACAACATCGTAAGGAGTGGGTGGCGCTGCTTGACTGATTCGAGAAAACATTGCACGGTTAGTTCTGTTGAGAAGAGCTTTGATCATATGCATGTTGTACATAGTATAGGTACACTGTAATGTATTTTCAACAAATTGAGACCCGGTTTCCTAAAATATTGTGTGTGTATATAGAACCCATCATTGTAACTAAGTTTAATTTCAACTCAGTTTGAATTTTTCGTTTTGTTGATTGAAAGCCATTCGCTGGACTTCATTTAGTAATTAGTAATCATCTTCAAATTAATTTACATGTACAGATTTTAAATAGTGACACTCTTCACGAACACTCTACGGATATAACGTTATTAATTATAACGTAATTATTTAAGCATTGAATGATTAAAACATATTATAATAACAATATACAGTTCAAACTTCAGCGTGATTGTTGCATTTCAGAGTCGCTTAATTGTACATAGTTTCAGAGCATGGGGGAAAGCGTATAAATCCATAATGTACACTCCTACTTTATTTGAACATCAGCGTAGGAGCAATACATTTCCCGTGCAAAGAGTTCCTATTTAAGAAAAGTTTCCAGAAGTTCATTTTCTTTGCCCTTATTTCATAATATAAATCGAACACGTTTACTGACATGCGCATAAATGGCCGAGCCAGAATAAGGCAGAGAGCGAGGCTTGGGCTAGACAGGCAGGGCGGGGCGGGGCGGGGACTTATACCT